TAGTGTGGAACTACTCTACTCTGCTGATACGATCGCAATAATCTTGTAGACTTGTCTGGTGGATTTAAAGGTGGGCCTTGATATCGTAGCTGCCTGCCACGTGACTGGCCAAGAGGGGTGTGGCTTGGCGATCGAGGCTTTGCTCTTCACTCGCCACTCCCTATTGGTTAGGCAACAGGATTCCTGCCCACCTCCCGATCTATTCTTATGCCTGGCCATCGCTCTCTCCGTGCAAATCCATGCTCATCTAACGTCAAATTGCTGCAGAAAGAAATCTCTTTCTTCTTCAGATCATCTTGCATCACTTCATTACCCTTCAAAAACCATGTGTCCTCAATGCTGAAGTATCAAGTCCGCTGCGAGGCCAGATCGTAACTAAGACCCGCCTCGCCACTTGAGTACTTACTGTTGTGCGCATTCCCCTAATAACCATTCCACCTTCCCCGGACTCTGCACGCCAAGATGTCCGTTCTCCGTCATGGAGGTTCATACCTCCAGCGACGGCTTACCAAAATGTACACAGATACGAAGACCTCGTGTGAAAGTGTAACGACGGCTTCGAAGGCTGTCGATGATCCAGAGCTCGTGGCTCTGCATCGGAGCTTTAGGACGCAGCGGGATCGGCTTCTTGCTTGGGGTCTAGACTGGAGCGACGCTAGCGCCGCGCAGCCAAATGATATCGATGAATCGCTCACCCAGGCTGGATTTAGCGATGTCGTGGAAAGTGTTATGTCTTCCATCCAGGAGTTACTGAGTGAAGCGGAACGCATCCAACATGGGGGTTCCTCCGATCTACCTCCCAAAGGCGCTCAAAAGGACTCGACGTCGAAAGATAGCCTTCCTGCCCTGCCGGTCAAGACGCACTGGACTAATGAAGATATCGCACGCTCCAAGAGCCTCCTTGCTGACTTGACTGCGTGCATCGACACGCTGTATGATTTGTCGCGCTCGCGTCGAAACATGACATCCAGCGGGCAGTCGGCTGTGCGAGGTCGGCAACGACACGCACTCAGAACAGGAGATGAGTCAGTCTACTCAGTCTATCCTGACTCCAAGTCATACCACGGCTCTCCGCTTGATACTAAGGAGGCCTACCACAGCCCCAAAGCGCATCAAGATCCTTTCGATTATGCGTCGCCCGTTGTCAGCGCTTTCGAGAAGCAGTCACACAAATCTTCTCTTTCATCGCAGAACTTCCTCATTGATCGCTCTGCTTTGCAGCTCTCCGGTGCCTCTCACGACAACAGCCCACCGCCGTATGAGATGGTAGCTGCTTCCACGAATTCTCGGGCCATTGGGCGTATCAAGACGTCAGCTTGTCCGCTCTTGGCGGGCGCCAAGGAGTCTACCGTATCCATCTTGGTTGAGTATACGCCCATGATGCTGGAAACTCAACGCGACATCACTTTGCCGGAACAGAAGCGACTCGAACATGTGCAACAGACCCTTGATCAGCTCGTCCAAAACGCAAGGGTATCCCATTTGGGTTTGATGAGATTCCTTGGCTTCTACATTGACATGCCCAATTCGCGATATGCGTTTATCTATCAAATGCCAATCGACTATTTCCCCTTTTTGCACAACCCTTCCGATCTCTTGAGCGGCCTGAAGCCGAAGCCGCTAGTCTCTCTCTTTCAAACCGGCGATGATCAACGGGTCCCCAACCTTGAAACCCGTCTTCGGCTGGCTTACGACCTTTTGATGGCTGCGCTACACCTTCGAAGCCAGAATCTCGTGCACGGAAACATCAACAGTGGTAACGTGCTCATCTTCCCCGGTGCGACCAGCTCAAACAACGACGAAGTGGCCCTTACGGAGGATCTTCGACGGCCATATTTGACATCCTTCGCTCAATTCTCCGGTACTGCGACATCGCCCGAACCTCTGTCATCGAGCATGTATCGTCATCCGGACGATAAGAGGTCCCTTGAGGATGATGCGGCCTGGTCCTATGATCTGTATTCCCTAGGTCTCGTGTTGATGGAAATTGGCCTGTGGACGCCGATCAGCCGGCTTTGGAAGATGAAATACACCAATTCGATGTTTAAACAGAGAATCGAGAATGTTTATCTGCAGAAGCTAGGTCCGAAGTGCGGCAGTGCATTTCTTCACGTCGTCCAACTGTGTCTGGATGCCCCCAACTTCCATTTATCGACGCAGCCATTCGAGGATTTCAACTTGAGGGTCCCTCAGACGTTTCATTATCCTGTTTTGGATCTTTCTGCACCAGACGGCATCTTTTCTTTCTCCATGAACTTCCTTTATACAATGTGCAAGATCGTTTGGTCTTGCTGCAGAATTGACATTTTCTCCGCACCGGCCGCTGAGGAGTTGGATGATTGCCTCCCCCTTGCGCTCGTTCCACGAACTGAGACAAAGCGTGTGCACAAGAGTCTTCAAAAGTATGAGCCTGAACCTCAGCGACTGACACGTCGCAATGGTCCGTATCCTGGTCTTCCAGTGCAAGAGATGCGTGTCTTGAGGGAGAAGATGGGCTTGGAGGATAAGAAGGTGAAGAAGAGGACATTTAAAAAGCTTACCAACGTCGAGATTCCTCAAGACCACCTCAACGAATGGAACTTTCAGATGCTTCCACGATTGAGAAAACTTCTTCAGAAGGTTCTGAAAGACTCTTCCGAATCCTGTGGTGTCACTCTGATGATGACTGGCGAGTCGGCCGAAACCGCCAAAACGACTATCTGTGTTACCTGCGCGAGTGCAAAGAAGGTAAGAACCGCCTTGAAGAAGTACTTTGTGCTCGACGACAGGGAAGATTGGGACATCATCGTGCTTCGTGGGGATATCCAACGCTCCAAAGTTCCCCGAAAGAAAAGGCGCAGGCCGGCCAAGTCTAGATCGCAGACGGCGGGTGCTCCGGCGTTTCCCGAGCGAGATCTCAATCCCTGCTATCAGCCACGACCGCTTTGTGGCGCGTCCATTGGCGCCTTTCAGAATGATGAGCATCTCCCTCCTGTGTCCTACGGGGGTGCCATCTTGGTCGACGGTATGCCTTATGGTATGACAGTCCATCACATGCTTGAGGCACCTAGTGATGATGAGGCAGAGGAGGACGTGGAGAATCGGAATGTAGGGGGGCCATTTCGCTCAGCTGGGAATTGGCCAGGAGAATCCGCCCCCTCGAACAACGATTTCATGTACACCTGGTGTGACGAGGATCCCTCTGAAGTTGACCTCGAATTTGAAATCTCGGAAGACGAGGATGGCGATGACGTCTCCCTCTCTCAGAGCTTGGAAGGAACTTACGACGACCATTGGCTCTCAGACAGTTATTCTTCGGACGAAGAAGGCTTTGATGTTGATGACCCCTATGAGGATGAAGACGCGGCTTCGATCGGCGACACGGCCGGAGTCGAGCCAGGTGATGAGCCGCCTCTATTTGTTACTCAACCGGCGATCGACGACGTCCATGAGGATTTCTTCCCGTCACCCGAAGATCGTGATGATGAGCACTTGGCGTCTCACTCGCTCGGGTTCGTCCATGCATCATCGGGTGTTCGCCGCTGGACTCGAAAAGGCATCAAGCACGAAATTGACTGGGCGTTGATCAAGATCAATGATGACCGGTTAGACGCGCGCAACATTGTCTTTGACAAGACGCCGCCATCAATGTCCCGAGGTCTCCAGAGACGGGGCCCTGGAGGACAGCCTTCACAGACAGGCCAAGCCATCTTTCTCAATGATGTAGCCCGGATGGAGGAGCTCGGTGGTTTGAAAGTCCATTGTTGCGGTCGGACAAGTGGCCTGCAGAGTGGACAGATTTCACGGGCGATGACCATCGTCAAACTGCACGGACGACAAACTTTCTCCACTAGTTTCTGTGTGGATGGAAACTTTGGAGGTAAGTTGTGAGATCCCCATGCGCCATGCGATCGAATAAACCGAAGCTAACAACCATCCTGAGTCTAGTCCCCGGCGACTCAGGAGCCTGGGTTTTCGACAAATCGACGGGCCGTGTCTGCGGCCATGTCCTGGCCTGGTCGGAGAAAAGCCACACAGCCTACATCGCTCCAATGGAAGTGTTACTGGAGGACATTGCTCGCACCCTGAACGCTAGCATGGTCACTCTCCCGGGTCGTCGAGACGAGTCTCTCGCCTTTGCGATGGCTCACGGCCCAATGCCTGAACCTCAGAATCCGCGTTACCAGGCGCCCCTCCCTCTTCCACAACAGGTTCCGGTGGACATTGGCCGGTTAAGCCTGGGCCTGGATGAGCCCGGGATGGGCACTGTCAACCCCAGCCGCGGTATACCAGAGGTGTCGTCCGCTCCTTACCGAGGGATGCCGCCTATCCTCTCCCCGCCTCGCAGCCTAGAAAGACAGCTTGCGTAAAGCGACTAGCATATTATATTCGTTCTCGTCTCTATATCACCTGTTTCCCTAATCATTATACCCCTATTTATTTTTTTCTCGCTCTTGGGTCATGGATATCGTGCGTGGTTTGCGAGGCGTATCTTTTCTACTTATTGCATATATACCCTACCTCTTGCCTCATGTTTTCAATGACTATGAAACAGTGCATGGAGATATCTACATCTCCCAAGCGTCTTGGATGATCATGGAGACGAGATGTCAGTTTGTCAAATGGAATATAACCTTCATATCATAGTAAGATCGCATTGCGCACGTCCTACCATAGACGTAGATGTACGTTTCCCATATTATCTACGGAGAATAGTGTCTTTCAAGTCGAAGATTCATTGCATTGATAGGAAAAAGGAAATAGATAGGAACATTGCCAAAGAACATCAGGCATAACAACGTAATGCATACATAGTAATCCGGCGATGCAACCTCCAAAACCCATGCAAGACAGAACGCAGACAAACCCGCAGTACAAACAAACAAACAAGACCCTAACACACCCGCCTTGTATAAACCATCCTCAATGTATGTCAAGTGATCAGATAATTGCAAGATATGATCCAGTAAAGTAAAATCGATATGAACGGGCCGGTTCCATGTTGAACTCTATTTTATTTTTCAAGACGACCCGAGGTACTTGAGCACGGCCTCCCTCTCCTCGACGGGCAGCATGCTGAGAACCTGTTGCACACCCTTGAGACCGCCCTCCTTGTTGCTGATGAGTAGCTGGGCGATCTCGGTGGCGACGGAGTCGGTCTTGAGGGCCTCGATCTTCATCTGGATGGCCTTTCTGTTCTCCTCATACCACATGGCGACCTTGCGGTCGTCGTGCTCGAGTTCCTCGTCCAGCAAGCCGGTCCACGAGTGCAGGGTGCGCAGGTGCTTGGCGCGAGGGCTCTCGGTGGATGGGGCTTGGCAGTCGACGGGTCCGGTGGCGGGGATGGCGCCGGTGGCCTCGCCGGAGACGGCGGCGGGAGCAACGGAGACCATGCGCTTGAGGATGAGCTCCTCGCTCAAACGGCGGCGGACACGCCAGTAGAAGAAGCGTCTGGCGTTCTTCCAGGTCAGGGCCTTGCGGATGGTGTTCTTGGCCACCATGCGGCCGGCGCGGTCGTGGAGATCAGCGAACTGCAGAGCGATCTGCAGGTAGACAGGAAGGAGCTGCTCTTCGCGAGCGGCCATCTTGGCTTTGATCTCTGACAGCTGCTCCTTGCTGAGGGATGGGTCCTCGAGAGAGCGACGGAGCTCGCCGTAGGTGGGGTCGAGGCGAGCCATAGTGTCGAGCTGCTTCTCACGGCGGTACTTGATGTTGACGATACCTTCGGGTTCGAGGACACCACCGCGAGCCTCCTCGTCAGCGTACATCTCCATCTGGTCGGGGTTGATCGTGGGATCGATGACGACCTAGAGGAGTGGTTAGTACTTGAGGACATAACACAAAGAAATAATAAATGACTTACCCATGAACCACCACGAAGTTCACCGAAGGGTGGGATGTAAACAAAGATGGGCTGCTCGTACTTGACGAGAGCGTCAACAATGTAGGAACCGTACTTGAGGACCTCGTTGTACATGTCACGCTGACCACCAGAGAAACCTCTCCAGTTGGCCAGGATCATGACGGGCAGCTGCTCGCCATTGTTGAAGTCACGGAGGGCCTGAGCGGTCTTGAAGGCCGAGTTGGGGTACCACACACCACCGGCTTCCTGGCTGATCAGCTCCATGGAGTCAGGGTTGGCAGGGTCGGCAGGGGTAACGTTCTCAACGGAACGAGTCTCGACAGCAATGACACCCATAGGGATGCCACCGAGGCGAGCACGACCGACGACAACGGTACGAGCCCATCCACCAAGAGCCTCCTCAAAGGATCCAGCATCGAACAGGCCAGGGAGGAAGCCTTCCTCATCCTCCTTACCAGCGATGAGCCAGCGGACATCGTAGGCCTGCTTAGGCGGAGGGTAGTAGGCGACATCGCGGTCCCAGTCATCGGACCAGGGCCGGATGGGAATGGGTGCACCCCTCTTGTCGGGAACGAAGGACATCCACTCGACGATCTTCTGGACACCCTCAAAGTCATCGGTGGCAGTCATGTGAGAGACACCGTTCTTGTACATGATCTGAGTACCACCGAGCTGCAGGTTAGACGTGTAAACCTCGCGACCCAGCAGCTTGTTGATGGCAGGGGCACCAGTCAGAATGATCGGCTGGCCTTCGACTTGGATGGCTCTCTGGCCCAGACGGACAAGGTAGGCACCAATACCAACGGAGCGGCAGGTGACCAGAGTGATGGTGAAGATGTCCTCGTAAGCGCGCGAGGTGGCTCCGGCGATGAGACCAGAGCCCTTCAGACATTCAACACCCAGCCCATCCTTGGCACCAATGATAGTGGTAATCTTGTGGCGCTCTTCGCCCTCATCGTGAATGAGCTCAGTAATGACCTCCTTCTTCTTGCTGGCATCGAATTTTTGCTTGACCTCGGGAGTGAGGTAAAGGTACTTGAATCCAGCCTCGGGCTTCTGCGGATCGTTCCAAGCCACGGAGAAGTAGGGGATCAGCTCATCGGCCATACCGATGCGAGCACCGGAGTTGGCAGAGAGGTAGATACGAGGGATTCCAAGCTTCCTGGCCAACTCGGTACACTTGTAGAAGAACTTGTCTTCCTGGGGACCGAAGGAACCGATCTGGAAGGTAATGTCGTTGGCAACAATGATGAACCGTCTGCCTTCGGGATACTCCGGGGTGCGAGCAGTAACGATCCATCCAACCATACCGTGGGTGTTGGTACCAGGGCCTCTCGAGATTTCGATCAGGTTGTCGGCATCATCGAGAACAAGCTCGCTGTACTCAATGCACTCGCCAACCGCGGGACGCTTGCTGGCCAGGGAGGGGATCTTGGCCACAGCCTTGGCCCAGCTGTTCTGGAAGGCCTGACGGAACAATTCGGGGAAGTCGTAGACGTACTGGGTGCCCATGAGATGAGCCTTGTAGCGCTTGGGCTGAAGCCACTCCTTGGTCGGGTAAGGTGTGGAGACAGGACGCAGGTGCATGGAGCCGAGCTTGTTGGTACCACCGATGCTGTGGAGGAGCCATTCGCCCTTCTCGGACTTCTTCTCGATGTACAGCTCAACCTGGATGATGAAGCCGTAGGTGTTGGTGATGATCACACGCAGAGGGTAAGGCATGCCAGTGGTAGGATCGGTGCACAGGATACGGATCTCGGCACCGGTGACACGGAGACGCCAGAGACGGCGACCGAAGCGCTCAAGGAAACCGGCCAGGGCCTCTTCCACATCCTGGGGCTGCAGGTTGAACACCGGCGAGAAGTTGATGAAGATGTGGTTAAGATCAGAGTTGTTGTTGCCGATGATCTCCAGCGCATCCAAAATGTCATTCATGAGACGGTCAGCCTCGGAGATGAGATACTCCGCGGTGGGAATATCGTCACGGAGACGGCCCGGGCGCACCACAGCACGGACGAAGTAACGCTTGTCGACGGCCTTGTCGTTCTCGGGGCCCTTGCCGATGGCCTCGTAGACGTGGATGTTCCTGTTCTCGGTGAAGACGGGCTTGATCTTGAACTTGGACAGACGTCCGAGCTCAAGCTGGAAGGCGAGCGCAGGTTCGCTGTGACGGATGCTCTCATCTTCCTCGTAGGTAGGTCCACGGAAGGTGAAGTAGCCAGGGTAGCTGCCGTTCTTGCCGCAGATGAAGGTCACACGGCGGACGCGGCGAGCGAGCAACTCCTCCCTGAGACCGGCAAGAATGCTGCTGATCTGAGCAACGATCTGGTTGTCGTCGAGATCTTCGAGGTCGCGGACAGCCACGTTGCAGACACCGGTCAATTCATTGTCAGACTCAATGCGAGGAGCCGGTCGGCGCTTGCCCTCCAGGTCTGCAATGAGGCCGTTCTCACCGGGCTTCTTCTTCGAGCCGGCACGAGGGAGTGCCTCCAGAGCCTTAGGCAGCTGCTCCTCGGCGTCTTCCAGGTACTGAACCGGAACAATGACACCCTTTCTGAGGGGCTCATTGTTGCTGTCGTTGACAAGGTATGACATATCGCTGATGGAGTTGAGCCTTCTGAAGGGGCTGGACTCGGTAGTGGGTGTGCTCGGCGTAGACATCTGGTTGGAGTGGACGGAACCGAACTCCGGCTGTCCAAGCTTGCCGAGCGTAAAGTCCCAGGAGACCAGGGGAACTTCTCCGTCGGGGTAGTACTGAATACCCTTCAGTGTGTAGGCCCTGTAGGCGCGGCGAATGTAGACCTCGAGTGCAGCCAGGGTAACCCACGGGTCGGGGTGAACAAAGAATCGGGTAAGCACGTCGAAGACGGTGTACTTGGAGTCCACCACTTCCTTGAGGACGGAGAATTCAGGCTCCCGGTGGTCCCAACCGGTCTCTCCGTATCGGGATTCGACAACAGAGGACCGCAGGATGAGTTCCATCTGAGACATACGCTCCTCCAGAGAGGGGAGCGCACACTGGATGAGGACCTCACGGGCCTTGAGAGTGACCTTGGCGGCGGGCCGCGACTCAAGTTCAGTGAGCTTCTTCAGGACGGGCTTGAAGTACTTTGCGACATTGCCAACACCAGGCTGGTTGGGGCGGTACATGGCCAGGATGGCCAAGATCAGGTTGTTCTTCGCGCCAATACGGCTGTGGGACAGAACAGTCTGAACGACGCTGCCAATGTCGTCCTTGTTCTCCTCTCTGAGCTTCAGGATGGCATCTTCGTCACGGATGTTGCGGCCAGAGAAGAGGCTCTCGACCTTGTAGTACTGCTCCAGCAATCCAGCGAAGACATTGAACTCGTGGGCTTTCAAGCCATCCATGTACTTGTTGATGACCTGCTGAAGAGGGAGGAGAGTGGTCCTGAGGATCTCAGCGTCGGCTGGGTTGACGTTCTCCTCAATGAAGCGGGAGATAGTCTTCTGCAGCTGCTTGGCGGGGAACTCGGCCTTTCTGGCGTGAGCCTTTTCGACGATGCTCTGTAGCTGAGCGTCCAGCTTCTGGGGCATGCGGGAATGAAGGGCAGAGGACTGAGCGTTCCATTCACCGTAGGGGAGCTCAGGGTCCCGCAGAACCTCAACAAGCTCCTTCAGAGTGGTGTTCATGATAACTTGGTTGTCATAACCCATGAGGATGTTCTCGAGAATGCTGTGAAGGAGGGAGAATCTCTGAGGAGGCTTGTTACCGACCACCTGCGGGGGGCCAAGGTCGGGCAGCTGTCCGGTGAATGGCTGAGCATGCGTGACACGAGACGGGTCATCCAGAGCGAGAATACCAAGGATATCACCGGCTTCGAGGGTGGCACCGGGCTGCTTGATGAGCTGGACAATACCATCTTCCTGCGCAATCAAGGGCATGTACATCTTCATGACCTCGACTTCGGCGAAGGCCTGACCAGCCTTGACGTGCTCGCCGTTTTCGACAGTGAACTTGACAAGCTTTCCAGGAGATGGAGAGCGGAGCTGAGTAGGATCATTCTCCTGCTCCAGCAAGCACGTCTTTCCGTCGACACTCAGACGAGTTGCAGCCGCTTCCTCCTTCCAGTAGACGTTGTGACTGCGACCGTTCAGCAGAACAAGCAAGCCACCGTCAGCCAGAGCACGAACACCGACCGAGCACTTGGATCCGTTGATGAACAGGTGGTAGCTGTCCAAGCCGGCTCTGGTTGCGGTGAACTTGTAACGCTGGCCCTCGTAGATGAAGTCCACGGGGAAAACGGTCTTGAGGACATCCTTGGAGGGCACCTGACCCTTTTCGAGGCCCTTGCGATACTCCTCGACACCGGCTTCGCTGGCCAGATGAGCCTTGGTGACCGCACCGCACAAAACAGCTACAATGGGATCTGGACGCTCCGCGGTCAGCTTGTTCGAGATGAGCTGGTCCAGCCATCCAGTGGTGATGGTGTTCTCCTCGAAAGCAGGCGTCTCCAGCAGCTTGATCAGGTACTCGACCGTCGTGCGGAAGTCACCACGGATGCTCAACTCCTTCAGAGCAACAACCATGTGTTTCCGCGACGCCGAACGGTTCTCACCGTAGGCGAAAATGTGACCGAACTGACTGTCGGAGAAGCTGTGGATACCACCGGCGGTACCGACGGAGAAGTAACCCCAGACGTTGGACGAACTGCGGAAATTCAGTTCGTGCATGGTACCGCTCGAGGGCTTGAAACCCTCGCCGGGATCTTCGGAAGTGATACGGCAGGCGGTCGTGTGTCCCTTGGGCTGGGGGCGGCGCTGGGTCTTGAAGCTCTCTTCGCTGGAGAAGTCGAAGTCAATCTCGGACGAGGTGTTGGGGTCGACACCATAGAGCAGACGAATGTCACGGATGCGGTGCAGGGGGATACCCATGGCGATCTGCAGCTGGGCGGCTGGCAGGTTGACACCGGAGACCATCTCAGTGGTGGGGTGCTCGACCTGAAGACGAGGGTTCAATTCGAGGAAGTAGAACTTGTCATCGGCGTGCGAGTACAGGTACTCAACGGTACCGGCGGAGACGTAACCGACCAGCTTTCCAAGGCTGACAGCAGCACGCTCCATGGCCTGGAACGTGGCGGGCTTGGCGATGGTGACGGGGGCCTCCTCGATAATCTTCTGGTGCCGACGCTGAACGGAGCAGTCTCTGCCGAACAGGGAGATGTTGTTTCCGTACTGATCAGCCAGCAGCTGGACTTCCAGATGCCGGGCATTGCCAGCCAACTTCATGATGAAGATAGGGGAACCGGGGATTTCGTTTGCGGCGGCATTGTAAAGGCTGATGAAATCCTCCTCGCGCTCGACCTTACGGATACCCTTACCACCACCACCTTCGGAGGCCTTGACCATCACGGGGAAACCAATCTCCTTGGCCTTCTGCAGACCTTCTTCAGGGGAAAAGGTGCAACCCCGGTTGTAGACCTCGTCGGGCACGGTGACAATGCCATTCTCATCAATGGTTACATCGTCAACTCCGGTTCCTGACCACGGAATGCAAGGCACACCAGCATGCTGTGCAACGATTGTCGAAGAGATCTTATCACCCAGGGAGCGCATGGCAGAGGCCGGAGGACCGATGAAGATGATCTTCTTGGGAGAGGCAGCCAGAGCTTCGGGGAGTCTGGGGTTCTCGGATGCGTGACCCCAACCAGCCCAGACGGCATGGACGTCCATTCGCTCGGCCACATCGACGATCAGCTCGACGTTCGCATAGTTGTTGTTATTTGTGCCTCCGGGTACCTGAAAAACGAGAAGATTAGCCATTTGGCGACCTTTCATCAGCCAGACTTGCGACTGCCTACCTCGACGTATTGATCGGCCATTCGAATGTAATCAGCGTTTGCCCGCAAATCCTCCGGTGTGGCCATGACCGTGAATTGAATGGCTCGTTCGTTGCCGAACGTCTCGTAAGCCCATTTCCGAACAGACCGAATCTCCTTGACGGCTGCGATACCGTTGTTGGCAATGAGCACCTAATCAACCAACCCAACCACATCAGCAACTTTGCTCGAATTGCAAACGCAAGGCCATTTTCTCGAGAGTCGGGGGACTGCCACTCACCGAACTAATGACGGAGTGACCCTCATGGTTGGCAACGAAATCCTTTACACTGCTTGGAGGTGCTGCGTCCAGGTGATTCCCACCGATGAAATGTGAGGGGAGATTGTGTTTGGCCGCACGAGAGCTAACGTGACCGTTGCTCGAGCTTCCGTTGGGGACACCCATGACGCTTGCAGTTTTATTATAAATTATGCAATTCCCATGCAATCAATGGCTATAGCTTTTCGAGGCGCGAAGAAAAGTGATGACGCGAAAGTAGGAGGAAAATCGTGTAAGTCGTAGTAGTACAAGAGAAGAGGGAATGGTTTAAGATAGAACCACAATGTCCCCGAAAATTGCGATTCTATCAGAGAAAGCCTGGGAGGAGGCGGCGTACAAGGATTAGGTCGTAAGTAACAAGGACAAAAGTACTAGGATGGGATGGAAATGGGTCCTCAGGCTGGTCGCGGCAGAAGAAGAAGAGATTGTCAGCAAAGTGTTTGGATTGAGCCAGCAGGGGGAGCCAGAGGAATAATAATAGTGGGACGGAGAGCGATTCGAAGGAAAGCGGAAATAAATGGGGACGAATGACGGATCCTTGTTGTCGCAAACGGAGATTGTTATACTTACCACAACCACCAGAAAAACCCGCCAGGAATGCTAAACTGCTGATGATTGGCAAGATTAGAAAGAGAATGAGAGAGAAGAAGAGCAGAAGAAGAAAAAGAAGAGGAGGAGAGTTGGGTTTAGATTAAGGACTTGATCTCGTTCTACCTCAAAAGGGCTCGACACCCAGAAGTCCGAGACCGTGGTTTACTTTTGGGCTTGTGCTTTGGTTATCCAGTAGATAGTTGGTCCAGTCAGATACCTGAAGCCAAAAGTACGCCGTTCCCTGCACTATCCATCGAGAAGCAAGAAAAAAAAAGGCCGAGAGGGGAAAGAATCCACCGAAAAAAAGATATCCACTCCCCAAAGAGCGATCCCCAACTTCTGTCCGCCGCTTGTTGTTGGGCCCATGACGTTTCTTCCCACCAGATTTCCTCTTCCGCCCCAGGCGCGTCCTCAATGCATTAGAATAATACCTAATAAGTTCCCTATCTGGGATCAACCATCAATGACGCTATACCAGGGAGATATTTAATACTGTGCATATCACTCCAGCTAGAGAGGTACTGATTCGATATCGTCCGTTCCCATGTATCTCGGTCTCGATGCCAAGTCAACAAACGGCCCCATCACATGTTTGTAGCGGTATCTATGATCTCTATCTAGTCTACAGAATACGCAATGAAATCACGCTGTGAAGATATACTCCCCGTAGTCCAAAAGCCGAGACATCACGATCGCGAAGTGATTGCAATCTATCTACCCGAAGAGAGTCATACTCTGCAGAAAGTACAAAGAAGGATCTAGACTAATTTGCGGACCTCCGCTCGGCGCCAAACAGCCGGGGGCTCGGGACATAGGCGGCTCATACGAACACATCCTCCGGAGTTACTATACTCCCGATCATCCTTCTGCCTACAACTCAGTAGATACTCATAGCGATAAGTGATCCCTTATGACGCTGAATTATTCTCAAGTCTTCCAATCTTTTCTATCCTTTAACAGAACCGCAAGTCCATCAGACAAATCGAATGAACGGATCGGCTCCCGAGCGCCGAATCCAGCAAATATGCAAGATTCTGCCTTAGGTACTACCGTAGGTCCTAGTACGACCGTAGTAGTACCCGCCTAACCGCATCGAGACATGTTGACGCCCCACACCCCTCCACCGCAGCCAATCACCAACCAAGTATTTGCCAACCGCGTTGGGACCTTGGGAAGAGATCGCCCTCAGCAAATCTGACAGTGGCGGGAGAAACGGGGACAGGGAGTCCGCGCTCTGCATCTCTTTCTGGTATGGTGCGCTCGCCAGTTGCCAGTTTCCCGTTAAGGGTGCATGTTCGGTCCGAACGGGCAGGGCACTCTTTCTACCCTAGGTACGGACTCCGTAGTTTCTACAAGGATTCTTATACGAGGACAAGATTTTAGTTCGATTTTGAGTCGGGCTTTATGAGCATGCTACAAAGCACCTCGGTTTCTGGTGAAATTCGGAGTTTACGCCTGAAATAATACAAACATAGTCATGCGAGACTGCATTGAAGAATGCCTTGGAAACAAGGAAAGCAAGACGGATCAAAAGACCGATCTTCTATCTATAAGTGATCGATCGACTGCCATACTTTGGTACAGCGCCAGGCACAGCGCACCTAGTATCTAGGTTGCTAGGAGGCCCCCCGCTGACGTACCGTCCCTTTTGAAAGTCGCTATTTCTCCACAAGCATCTGGACGATTATGTCCCTGACCCAGACCAGACCCTGATTTGTTACGAAAAGAACCAAAGAAATATGTAACGAACTGTCGCTGGGTATTCTCTAACGCCAAAGGCAACAATAAGTAGTAACATGAAACGAAATCTCCAAGGAAAGTAGTGCTGAGAAACAGCTTGGACGCCCCAGTGCCGTTGCAGAGCACCGCAACGGCTTCTGCGAGCATGTGAAACAAAATGCACTATCAGACGCGATCCCAACTCCGCCATCCACCCCGGACAAACTGTACAAATCAGTGACTATCCTTTAACAAAGGGATTAGCAGAGAAGAGAACACTCCAACAAAGGTAATCCCTCATCTATGATCAATCTTCTAGCGTCCAGCCGAAAGCTTCCAAGGGACGCCTATGCTCCAATCTGGACCCGACCTTCGAACTTACAAGGTCTTGAGGGTATTATGTATGTAAATGTAGGATAAAACGAAACGGGCTGGTTCAGAAGGACCCCTTCTAAAGTGGGTCAACTTCAATGCACCGGACGGATACATCGTTCGGGTACCGCCGGGAGATCCGAGCAGGTCAATTTAATAAGTTTCTCCAAGATCGGTAATCTTGGAATTTCTCTCTGGTGGCCCCATGTCGCCTTCCAACCGGTCAAAGCCAGTGCTGGTTCTCAATGTTCGAGGCGCTGGGATACCAGAGATCCCGCTTGGGGTTCTTTTCTTAAGTCCAGTCGGCGTGGAGATGGACGGAAGCCGGGTCTCGCGGATCTCGCTAATCCTGGCCCGTAGAGACATATGCATAGCAAGATCCTCGTCCTCGTCAATATGGGCCATCCCATTGACGGCTCCATTTTGGTTAGAGGGGTTGCTGAGCGATGACCGGGGTCGGCGACTCTCTGTGGTCGGGTTGGTCGAGTAGTGTCCCAGCGGTGTCTTCGTCCGACTCTGGCGGCTCTCAGGGCGTGTTGATGGAGTCACGCTCGGATGTGTACTGTGACTGACAGAGCTGTGGCTCGAGTAACTAGTGCGACTGCTTGGCCGACTATCCCCCTGTGTCCTAGCACCAAAGGACGGTCGACTGTGCGGAGCATAAGAAGGCACACTATCACCGTCTCGAACAGACGAGCTAAAACTACTCCCGCTCAACCGTTTGCGCGAGTTCCTTCGGGCTGTTATTGTAGATGCAACCGGACTCTCGCCCAATATCGACCCCGAACGAGAAGACGTACGAGACGGTGAATCCGACGGGGGTGGTAGTTTGGATTTTGCAGATTGGACTCTCTCTTCGAGCTTCTGCATCTTGCCAATGAGTCCACGGATTTGATATAGTGAACCCGACTTCGGCAGCCCAGACGACCGGGCATTATTAATATTCTTGTTGGTGTTCTCATTGGGCTTGGGCTTGGGCTTGGGCAAGCTGGGCCGATTCGTAGCTGACGGCGTGGGGCGGTTATTCGTAAAGGCATAGGAGGTTGCACGCGCGTGGTTGTTATATTTCTGAGCCCTGGACCCATGCAGCGACCGGCTGCCAAATGACGAGTCAGAAGCCGAGGCCTTCTGAAGAGGGAAACCAGGCATAGCATTCATTGACTTGCGCAGGCTGCTCGACGACTCGGATATCGGCGGTGACGGAGGCGTTGCCGTGGCGGACATGAGCGAGGTTTTCAATGTAGGAGTCGAGAATAAAGGCGAGGAAACTATGGATGAAGCAGGCGAACGATTGAAGAGATCCGGTGTCTGTGGTGTTGATGGACTGCGCAACGAGATAGGCTTCCTGCGTCGGCTGTTTTGCAGTTCTGCATTCCGGAGCTTTTCGTGGATGATTTCCGTTTCGATCTTCAGATCCGAGAGCTCGTCTCGCAGACGCTGATTCTCGATGCGCAAGTTCTCCCGCTCCTGCTCTCCGGTTCTGATTTCCTCTTCCAATAAGACTGCTCGTTCGATGGCGACGTTGTACTTGGACTCCAGATCCTCCAGGGACGAAGTCGTATGCCGGGCTTGACGTTCATAATCATCGTTTGCGACCTCGATATCGCGCAATTTCAGCTGTAGCGTCCGGTTTGCATCTCTCAAAGTCGTGATCTCTTTCTGTAACGTGTTCTGGGCCGAGTTGCCCTCCGACTTGGATTGCTTGTACTTGGTCTGCCGAGGAAGTCACAGATTAGCCCTCAGTCCATCACCAGCAATGAAGGTAAACTGCCGATCTGACCTTCCACTCCTCGACCTCATATTTCAAGCTATCCACCTTCTCCTTCAACAACCGTTCCCGCTTCTCAGATGCCTCGATATCCTTTTCCAGCTCCGCCTCCAGCTCACGACTGGAGGCCTGGAAGTCCGCTAGCTCAGCCTCTAATTGCTCATACTGCGATTTATACCATGCAAGCTGATCCGACCGGGAGCTGGTACCGTTGGGGCGAGCAGAGGAAGAACCATCGGCCGAGGGCATTATTCCGATACCAGGGGGGGCGGTATGACCGAAGACGGGCACGGAGGTCGGGCACAAGAGCGAAGGTGACGACTCACTTTCAAGCAGTGACTTGAAAAAACAGTGAGAGTGTCGCCAGGAAACAGCTGGAAACCGAGTTCATGCACGCCGCGAATAGTATCAACAACCGTGCGTGAACCGGTGGAGGGGACCCCTCGCGGAGGCGGTGTCGCAGTTGATCGGGGGTTATAATAGAGACTCGAAGAGAAGTGATGAAAAACAAAGAAGAAAAATAGAAATGAAAAAGAGAAAACAAGACCAGAACAACAGAAGTTGAAGACCGAGAAGATCCAAACTTACCTTTGCGGAACCCTCTCAGAGGGGGCTGGTCGAAACATGGATGGTTGTTTTGAGGGGGGTTTGTGATTGTGATGGTGATGTTATCCAG